CATTTTGACCCCCCCATTCAGACCCTCTGAGAAGTCTTGCATCTAGACTGGAGTCAACTGTCATTACGTCAAGAGCACCAGGTACCACTGATGCCTATAGGAGAGCTTTTCTGTGGTGGAAAGTGTTCGCCAGTTCCAAGAGGGAGATTTGTGCTTTTCCTGCAAAGTCAGAGCATGTGGCGTTATACTTACAGCATTTACTGGATACCACTCATTCCCACTCAGCGGTCCACTCTGTCATATTTGGAATACAGTGGGCACACCATTTGGCAGGTTTACCTTCACCTACAGACAGCTCGATCAGCGTTTGTAATAAGCAGGAGCCAGTTTCTCCAGACACAATAAGGAACCTTGTTGAAAAATCCAACCTAGATAATTTACTTGAATAATGAAATGTGTGTATTTTTATTCTTGCTTTCCCTGGTTTTTTCCGAATTGAGGAGGTTCTTTATATTTGATATGGAGAGATTGGTTTTTACTACCTCACTATCAACGTTGATAGAAGTAAGACAGATCAACTTAGGAAAGGGAGCCAAGTTGTAATTTCTGAGAGCTCCAATATTGCTACCTGCCCTGTAAACAATTTAGGTGTTATTTAAGAGAGGTTGAAAAGTTTCCAGTTGAGGCAGACCATTATATCTTTAGGGCCTTGTACAAGTTGAAATAAGATCACAGACTAGTATCTGTTAACAAGCCACTAAGTTACTCATGTATAAGAGATTAGTTCAAATCTAGTTTTAAGGATATTGTTCCAGATATTTCTCTATTCAGCACACATTCCTTTAGAGCTGGTGGTGCTTCAGCTGCAGCTAATGCTGGCGTTCCCGACAGAGGCTTTCAGAGGCAAGGGCACTCGAAATCTGTTTCCGCCAAAAACGGCTATGTTGATCATAGTTTGAGTTCATGTTTGTCAGTGTTAAAAAAGTTAGGTTTTTAATTCTGTAGTGTTCACCTTCATATTTCCCTTTCTTAGGCTCTAGTAGGATGTGCAGACTACAAGACTGGCTGACTCATCCTAAATAAACTTTCACATTCAATATCTTGCCTGAGTGTATGTAATAATAATATGTAATTTCTGATGTTTGAGTGACATGGAAACGAATTAGTCAAAAATTAATATTCGGACAGCGTATTGAAGAGGTTCAAATGGCAACACGATGGTCTCAGCTCATTTAAGCATTTTGTGGGGAAAATTAAGTCCTTCTATGTTGGTCAGTCTTAGGTTTGACCACTTTCTCCTTTTTTTATTTCATGTAATTTTGTTTTAAAACTCTGTAAAATATCACTGCTTTCATTGAATTTTCTGTGTGATTAGTTGTGTAACTAGGTTTATTTTAGTTACCCTTTCCCAAGAGTATAGTGCTGCTGCATTAGATGAGGAATACGTTTCCACATATATTTTGGCCACTATAAAGAGTGGTTTTTTAGTGGTTTTTCGTATCTGGTGTAGCACAGCCTATTTTTGTATAACCCTTCAGTTTCAGTGAATTTGAAGCAATGCCATGATCATTTAAAACTATATCCACAATGAGAACAGGCGATTTTAAATTTATATGGCCATTTGAGTTGGAGAGATTAGGGACCTCACATCACCACAACAGTGGTGACGACAGATTGAACCCTGCTGATGATTTCAGTTGAGGCCTTGAAATAATTGAGTTTCTTAAGAATGAGCACTGGCTGAGAGGCCCACCATTCCTGTATAGTAGTGAGGACCACTACACAGAACCCAAGTTTGAGAACATCGCAGTACAGAAGCTTGAGATAAAGAAGGAAGTGTACGTGACCATAATTAACCCAACAACTTCTTTGAACTGCCTTCTGACCCGATTCTCAAGTGGTCCTCAAGAAAGAAGAAAGAAGATACAAACACATGCAAGGTCACATGGCATATCAGTCATGAAGAAATTGAGAAATCTAAAAGAGAGGTTGTCAAGTTGGTACTGAAGAGCATCTTTCTGCAAGAGATAAAGGATCTCAAGGCTGGGAGACAAGTGAAGGCATCAAGTCATATTGTGAAGCTTAAACCAGCAATCATGAATAACAGTGTATAGAGAGTTGGTGATAGAATTTCAAGAGTGCCCATATCTCTTCATGCTATGAACCCTATGATCTTGCTGAAGAATCATCAAGTCACCACGATCCTGATACACTATGTAAACAAGAAAACTGGACATTGTGGAGTCGAGCAAGTACTGTCCCTTCTCCAAGAACAATTCTGGGTGGTTAGAGGAAGAGCAGGGGTGAGGGAGATTACTGGGGGGTGCATATCCTACAGGAAACAAATGTCACCTAAGATGACTCAAGAAATGGCAGAATTACCAAAGATTAGGCTGACGCCCTATGAGCCACCATTTACATATTCCAGAGTTGACTATTTTGGCCCTTTTTACTTGAAGAGAGGAAGAGGAAAGGTTGCAGAGAAGCAATGGGCTGCCATCTTTGTATGTATGAACTCTTGACCTGTGCATCTTGAGGTTGCCAGCTCCCTGGAAACAGATGACTTCATCTTGCTGCTGATGAGATTTCTACATCAAAGGGAACATGTGAGGGAGCTTTGTTCCAATAACAGATTGACCTTCGTCGGGGCTGATCGAGAAATTAAAGAGGCTATTGATCAAATCGACAATGAGAAAGTGGGTAGAGAGTTATCACAATGTTGCTATACATGGGTGTTTCACCCTCCAGGGGCATCCTTCCTTATCAATGAAGAGGTACTGCGAACAGTGTTTACTGAAGCTGAATGAATTGCTAACTCCAGACCACTGACAAGAAATTCATCAAGCATTAATGACGATCAGCCTCTCACACCCAGCCATATCTTAAACATCCATCCCACAGTGAATCTCCCCCCCAGAAATGGTTGATGACAGCAACAAGTTGACTCAAAAGCAATGGCGCCAGGCACAGCTCTGGCTAACCATTATCGGAGGCGTTGGCTCAGGGAGTACATTCCCTCACTACAAGAACGCCAGAAGTGGCAGAAAGCTTAAAGGAACTAATATATTGAAGAGTTAGTCCTTATTGCCAAGGATAATGTCCCACAACATCAGTGGCCAGTTGGACTAGTAATTAATGTGTTTTCTGGACCCAACAGACTGGTCAGGAGTGCAGAAGAGAGGGCCAAAGGGTCAACATACAGAAGGCCAATCACCAAGATTTGTTTGCTAGAAGAATCAGATTCTGGAGAAGCTCAGTGACCTGGGAGTCTATGAGACAAAAATGATTGACTAAACTTACCCTTTTACATGTTGTTACCTTTTGCTGAACATTTTTTGATCAAACATTTTTGATTGACTAAGAACTTACCCTTTAACATGTTGTTACCTTTTGTTGAACATTTTTATTCAAAAAAAAAAAAAAAGGAATTTCTTGTTCTAGTGTCGGGAGGCCTGTGCCTCCCATAAGGCAATGTCCTTATTGCAGATTCCCTAGAGCTTGTACATATTCAAATCATATAACTGATCTCAATTGTTTTGGAGCTTAGAAATAAATTGTGAATTAGCAACTACATGTGGTTTATCGCAACTTGACAAATTTTGGCCAAAGCAGACAAATCTTCACACACACTGCCAACAGAATTTGTCCCGTGTAAAAACTGCACAAAATTGTTGAAATAAACAAAATTATGTTCATCTCATCATTCATATTTCATGAACGGTGAGTTCACAATTTGCCTTGGTCTACAATGCATGTCATTAATTTTCTTACATGCTAGAGTTTTATAATTAAAACCTTCAGGTTCAATATTTGGTGAAATGGAAAGGGTATGGCAGGTTTCATACTAGTTGGGAAGATGAAGAGAACTTGACTACCAATCTTATTAGGTATTTATTGTTGTATCATTTTTTCAAACTACTTAAATTACCACTACAATTGGACATGCTGAAATACAGAAGTAACAAGAGAAATGCACTCATATAAACTTATACATAGAAAGGTTTATGCTTAACTTTTTTTTCACCAATAATACACTCAATAATTGCTGCTCTCTTTTTTCTTCTGCCTCTGCAATGCTTCCAGTATTACCTGTTTATAGACAGCCCCTCTTACAATGTTTCCATTTTCATTATTTTCATTACAGAACTTATGACAAGCCAGTTGTTGACAAAGAGAGGCTAACATGACAGGTTGATAACCTGAGATTATCAGTCCTGTTCAAATTGAAAGGTAAATCTAGGTCAAATGCTATTTTGGGCTTTGATGATGATTGTTTTCGTCTTTTGTTTTATGGTAAAGGAAAGAAGGGAAGGGAGAAGGGGTGTACTTTATTGGATAGGGATGATTTTAACCATGTAATTTACTGGAAAACTGGGATAGGGTTATTGACTGCAAGGGAGATGGAGTAAGGGCTAAATATCGATTTAAAATTTTAGATTGGTTTTAGCCAATCACCAAAAACATATTCTATTGTAAATGACAAATTCAAGAAGATCAGAGAATGACTATTGAGAAACTATCAATCCATTTCAGTCGCCAACCAGTATCTATTCAATCATAGACATTATTATGTCACTGAAAATGAAATTCACTCTAATGGCATTGGGGACTGTAAGGGGTTCCGCTTAAATGCAAAAGTTGCCAAGACTATGACCAATAAGTAAGTTGAATGCACAAAATGATAAATGGCCCCCATCTAATTACCCTGGGCCTAATCCACAGAGATGAATTTGCTTGAAATTGCTTTTATTTACTTAGTTATAATTATAATTTTGTCACGTTGATGTGTTTTCACTGCACCCTTTGCTGGTCACGTAGCTTTTCATGTGAGTTTGTTCATATAATTTGGAATATTTCATATTTTCTCATTAACAAATTTTCCTCCATTTGTTTGATAAGTTCAGCCTTGTTTTTGCTGCTGAATCCTTTAGCATTTCTCTTCTTTAATTCGTCTTTCACAAAATTACAACGATGGCTATGATAATTTTTTTCTTGATTTGGATGTTTTTTTTTATTTTTTTTTTTTATTATTTATTTTGTAAAGTCAAGAAAACAGGGAAGGGGTTGGGGTTTGTATGTATGTCGCAGGATTGATTCTAACGTATGTTCTTTTGTATAGGTCAGAGCCCACATCAGTTCCTTTCCTCGACAAACATCCCATTATTCCCGCAAAGACAACCCTGACAGAGAGTATCTGGAACCAGGATGGTCAGTACAGAGAATGTACTACGATTACTTAGAGATGAACGAGCCAGCTGTTCTCGAAAGGGAACGCGAAATTATAAGGTAACTGTAATAGCTCAAAACAAACCAACAGTTAAATGAGTTTTAAGGTCTTAGGTAATAAAAAATAAATAATACCCTTTCAACGTAAAAAACGCCAGAAAAACGAGGAAATACACCGAGGAAAAAAAAAAGGAAATTGTAAAATACAAAAAGTTCACAAGGACTGCCAATGGCAAATTTGAAAACTTAAGCATAAACTTTTTATAATAAAGGATAATGTCGACAGGTATTAAAGACATCAGTTCGCAGTAGTTTGTACATCTCTACTAAACGCACTAAACACATTACTTTCGGTGCTGTGATAATAGAGAATCATTTTATTTCCTTAGATGTCAGCAGGAAAACACAACACCAATTCCACTGAAACTGAAAGCCCACATCCTACTACACCCATACAGGGACATCTTCAATGGAGAATTCAACCTGGGCTTCGCACTACCTCGCACCAACACTTGCGCCACCTGCGATAAACTGGCCCTTAAAGTGCGATCATCCGAGGGCGCGGAAAAAGAAAAACCTGAAAAAGAACTCGAGGAACATCACAAACTTGCCGAATCTGCATTTACAATGCGTAAAGACGACAAGGCACGCGCGGTGAGAAGCTGGGTTGGAAAGCCCCGTCCAGTTGGCTCTTCAGGAGTAAAACACTGCAGTAAAGATGCCGTAGACATGATAACTTATGATTTTCAACAAAATCTGGAGACCCCAAACTTACAGCATAACGATATGTTTTATAAGAGGCAGCTGTGGACCTACAACTTTGGTATCCACGATTGCGTGTCCAACCAGGGCTATATGTTTATGTGGGACGAGACGACAGCCAAACGTGGGTCAGTGGAGGTGGCAAACTGCCTGTATAATTTCCTCACTGAGTTTAACACTGGAGCGAGGTAAGTTTTAGTTTTTTGTATTTCGGAACATCGGTCGGTTGCATCTTAGCGTAAACCTCGAACCCTGCATGTTTGATTTTCAAATTTAAAAGTTTAAAGCGACGTTTCGCACGAGTGATCACAACAGCATTCTAGTATATATCTCTAAAGCGCTTTGAAAGAATTTGATAAAACTTTACTTAGAAAAGAAACCTATGTTTGTTAAAAAGCGGAGCAACGCCAAAAGGGTTCAATCTGCAACAGTCAAATATACTGTCTAGAGTTTTGGCAAATTTTATTATCGCCAGAACAGTTCTGTGATCACCCGTGCAATAAATAAAGTGATTACCATATTTATTCGATTAAAAACCGTCCTCGAATAAACGCCGCAGTTTAGAGCAGAAATGATTATCATAATAAACGCCGCCCTCGAATAAACACCGCATCATCAAAAAGCAAATGTAGCAACATATAATCGAGTTTGTGCAAGCCTACAAAATTTATGTTTCTTCATTGTAACAATGTTTTAAGATCAGTACATTTGAAAATCGAAACACGAGAACAATATACGAAACATGGTTTTTTTTTTAAATCAAATATTCAGTTAACATACTATTCTTTGCAAAAAACAAATTGGATTTTATATAAACTGCGCCCTCGAATAAAGGCGGCACTCAAAGGAAGAATAATTTAATAAACGCCGCAGTGTGTAACGGAATAAATACGGTGATAAGGTGAACCCTCAATTTCGCGAACAAATTCACCTAGTCCCCAGTCATTGTTAGATACAGGTCTCACTATAACACCATATTATTAATTGCTTCACTGTCATATGAGAACAGCTAGTGTCAGTGGAAGTGGACTCAGGGAGATGTTCATTTTGGGCTTTGATAGTTTACTGGAGAGGATCTTGGCTGAGATTTACTTGGGCCTTTTTTCGGTTTTCTTTACTTTCAACATCCCTGTAGCTCTCCTTGTGCTACATACTTCCCACTAGTGTTCTTTGAGTTCCCACTGATGTTGCTCTTGTTGTAGAATATCTCCTGCGAAATCCCACTTGTTGGACTTTCTCAGAGTTATTACACGCCCTACATCATTGTTCTTTTTAACCCCTTGCCCTGTAAATATTTTGACTGAGTTGTGGGGCTCAAAGAACTTGGGGATGAGTGTAACCATGATCTGCATGTATGGGGTAACTCTGGCTTTCTCATACCCTTCTTTTTTGCCATTTAGACTGACAAAAAGAGAAATGAAGGTGCTATACTTCCTTCTCCTTCTGCTTGAGTGGCTGAATCTTGACAGTTAGGTTTACTTGTGATGTTGTGAGCCACATCACTGTCTGATTCTTTAACGGTTAAACCTAGTAGTTCAACATCAAAGGAAGAGCAGAACCAAAGAAAGAGCAGCTTCAGCTTTTGAAATAAAGTTTTCTTAAGGTCCTGAACTTATTTTTCACAGTTGAAAGAGGTTTTCCCTGGTATAAACTAATTCCCACTGAATTTTCCAATGACTGGACTCTCTGTTTGCTTTCTGCAAAACTTAGCTCTCATTTTTCCTTTGGTTCACTGCCAGCACCCTTTCCTTATAGATTCTTTCCTTCTCCACCTCTAAATTCTCATAGGCCTTTTTTCAATCTTGAAGCTCATTTTTTATGTTTTCAATTTCTTAGTAGAGTTCATGAACAGGTTTTGTTTGACCCTCCATAACATGAAACTTTCGGACCCAATTATCCAACCCTTTTCTTCCCCTGCCCTTAGTTTTTTGTAATCTGATGAAATTCTATGGGCAATATTTCTCTTGCAGAACACATACCTAGCAAGCAGATGGTAGTGGCCGATACTCTGTCAAGAAGCCATCTCAAGTCTCAAGGAACCTGATACAGTGGAAGATGTTCAAGCATTCATAGACTTAGTTGAATCTTCAAGGCCAGCCACCGATAACCAACTGGAGTGGATTAAAGAGGCTGGTGCAAAGGATGCCCAGCTCCAAAAGGTGGTTACAGTTACATCACAAGGGTGGCCAACACATATGCAAGAAGTTCCACTCCATGTGGACATTTGTCAATAAGCAGTGGCCTGTTAACGTATGATGATCGCCTAGTGATAACTGTTGTCACGACAGCAGAAATACTGAAACGCATTCACACTAGCCAACAACCCGTAACAAAGTGCAGTGAACATGCTAACCTGTCTGTGTGGTGGCAGGGTATTTCCAAACAGATTAAGGCAAAGGTCAAGTCATGCCAGTTCTGTCAACAATGCTAACTTTCACAGAGGAAAGAACCTCACATTACCACAGTCCTACCTGACAAGCTATGGCAAAAGGAATCATGACAGATTTGTGCTAGCTACATCACACAGAATGCCTGGACATCATTTATTATTCATAACCAGTAAAGCGGCAAATGTTTGTGGCAAACCAATAGCTCCCAGCTGCCAAACAACTGGTCCGTAGCAGAGAAGAGATTGAAACAATTTAAGAAATGGTTTGAGCGTGACCCAGAGTTTGCTGCACAATACAAAGCAATGATAGATGACTGCATTGCCAAGGGATACACTGTAAACATATGATGATATGATGGCGGTCGGTCGCAATTTCAGGCTCTCTGCGAATGTTTGTATATTT